TCCAGCACTGCAATTCAATCAGTACTCGGACTGTTGAGCTCCTTGTAGAGAGCTTGTGGAGATGTGACATCCTTTTCTAGTATTATCATTCAGCACAGGTTTTTTGGTCCAACAAACTGGTGATACTGGTCACTCTATGGCTTGGTGTTTTCCTGGGTACCTCGGCTTGTTTTTCGGATGGCTTGTCCATCCGATTTTTTGCAGGCTTTCTCGACACAGGAAAGTCTAGTGTAACTGTCGAGCCCCGGAGGCGTTTTTGTTGCCGTGGTTATCTGGAGAATTCTATGTTTGGGTGACTGTATGTCTGTTTGCTTTGTGCAGTTGTATGTTTTGGTGGCTTCAGATTGATGGGTTTTCTTTGGCTGTGGGCAATGAGTAAATCTCATCTGCCATAACAACCTTCATTTTTGGTGGTGGTATTTTTTTTCCAGGAAGCCCTAGTCTGGTAGGCTTTTCCTTTTACATGAACTGCAACTACTCTGTTATTTATCAATAAAGTTTCATATTTGTATCTTATTTGGGTCTGTGATTTTAGAGATGTGCTAGTTTCCAGACTCGGCCCAAATGAAAGAGAATATTAGTTTCGAGTGTTTAATTGAATACAGAAAAGATAAGGGCTTAAATAATGCGCTTAAAAGAACCGATTGGCTTTAAAAAGATTCGAAATACATGGGTCATTTCCATTGGTAAGGGGAAAGAAAGAGGACAAAACCTATACATTATCGTGAATGTAATCTACTTTGAAATTCAGTGATTTTACTTGTCTCTGTATATAAGTGCATTTGGGATTGAGTGTGTTGGCCTATCCATTGCAATCTCGGTGCTTTGTGAGGAGGCTCCTGATTGCTGGTTTATTCAACGCACCGTGCATCCACCAGACTGAGTATAGGCATTGAAGCACTGCATTGAGTAATTTAGGACCTTAGGTTTTGTATTTGGAAAGTCATGGACACGGGGATACAGGATAATGCATATGGACGTCTATTATAATTCTTTTATTACTAGTGGATGTTCATTATTTGAAGTCTTTAAACATATAAAATAAAGCCAAGGTTAGCGTCGACCATGTTTGCGGCGCCAACCAAGGATTGTGAGATCTATATACGTTATCAGGAACTAAAGAATATAAGATAAATGAGGGGAAACAAGAACAAATTTGCTTTCATTACACTTGTACAATAATCAAATTGTGGACAAACATCAATATTTGGTACTTTAATTATTGTTGCAAGTAACGACAGTATTTGCGAAAAGTAAAGGAAAATGGCACTACAAGTAGTATCAATGTGCCCTACCACTCACCATTTTTTTTTCTTATTGGAGGATTCTAACAGGTTACCCAAGGAGGTTGATTATGAAATCATTTCCATTTTCCTACTTCTCTAATATTTTATATGAATTTAATACTGGTTAAGTGTTTACACTACTATTTTTATATTAACAAAAGGTTACTGTCTCGATACAAAATTTTTAATTGTTAAATTAAATTTATTAATTAATTTTAATTTTCAAGTTTAAATATTTTTTAAGATATTTTTATCATATATAAAACACTAAAGTTTTGTGACATGATATTTTTAATTTCTTTTATAATATTTTAAAAGAATTAAAATATCATGTAATAATATCGTGATGTGACATATAACATCTATTTATACATGTTAATATATATGTCCAAATATAGACCAACATTTTCGAAAAAGTATTTTACAAATTCATCATAGTCTAACTTAACACAAATTATATCAATAAACTCAATAATTTATTTTTTAAAATATCGATTGTTTATAAAATTATGAAATCATATAAATTGTTTTCGACAGTTTTAGATTTGTAATTAATTTTTGAAGGTTGTGTGTTTAAATATAATTTTAAAAATTTATGACAATAACTTAGATATTGTATAAAAATAAAACTAATTAGTCAACAGAGTTAGTTTTAGTGGTAAGTAGTTTAATTTTGTTTAAGTAAGTTCTCGAGTTCGAGTCCTTATATATATAAAAAATCATTGTTGATGTAGACTCACAAACCAAAATTAAATGTGAGACGTGAGTCGATCTGGAGGCAAAGCCTTGAAATAGGGAGGGTAACCCAAAAGAAAAAAATAATTAATTATACACCAATAATATTTGATGATATAATTGGTCATTCCAAGCCTGAAAGAGCTGCATGAGGTTTAAATCAAACTGTGAAGATGGCGAGGAATCTCAATCACACAAACTTGGTTTCAATGAACTCTCACGTCTCTCTCCAAATGTTTTGGCTACTTCCATGATGGTTCAACCAATACAAGAAAAATATCTTGTTACATCTCTTCATAATCTTTGGTGCTTGTTAAAATACTAATTTTATTAAAATGACGTCCATACAGGGATAGGTATGGACCCGAATCCGACAGATTCCGACTTGATCGGGTTGAATTTTTAAAAAAATTCATGTTTGGATCTGGTCGAGTTCGTCAGATTTTTTACAGATTGTTTTTGGGTCAAGTTGGATTCGGATTTAGGATGAAAAATACTAAACCCGACTCGATCCATATAATTTTACCTATATATTTAGAGATAATTGCAATAATATATCTATATATATATTTTTCAATTAAATCTATATTTTTATTGAATAAAATAATATTTTTTAATAAATATATTATTTCAGATCGATTTAAATGGAGTGCTCATAAATTTTGGGTCAGGTCGGGTTGATAAAAAATCCGACCCGACCCATACAAATCCATACGTCCATATTCAATTATTAATCAAAATATTATTATTTTATTAATTTTTTTAAAAAAAAAGTTAAAAAATTAAATATAATTTTGCATGTTCAATACTCAAATCTCATAAAGATATAATTAACTAAACATGTTTTAATTGGTGTAGGATTATGAAAAAATGCAACTAAAAAATTTGTGTTCACCTATCTCACAATAGAACTCGACTTTTGTTGTTTACCCTAGTTTATTTTAGAGATTATCATTAGTTAGATTAGATTTTTCGTCAATTCAAAATTGATTCAAGTATAATATATTTAATCCATTATTTGATTTAAAAAAATATTTAACTTTATTTATAAGCCTTAAACTTACACATGATCTAAGCCAATACAAATATATAAAAAATGATCGCAAGCGACAGTTTTAATATACGGTTAGAAATGTACTACTGATTTTGTTATTAATTTTTTAACAAAATCGATAAAAAATTACAAGAAATATTATTATTTCTACCAATTTTATTATTATTGGGCGCTTTGCTGGTTTTGGTAATATATTAGGTAAAACACTACATAAAATATTATTTTTTTATTGAGTTTTTCTGTCGCGTTTACCAATATATGTAAATAATAATAACAATAAAATTGATAAAAATAATAATTTTTTAAATAATTTTTTATCGATTTTATTAAAAATAATAATAAATTCGACACCATATTTTTTGAATCGTATATTAATACGGTGGCACCGTAAAACTTCCCACAAATATATATACGAAGAACGAAATAACATTAGTAATAAAATCTCTCAAGTACTAATAATGATTGAAAAGGTAAAACTTTGAAAAGAAAATAAAAAATAAAAAATCCGAGGAATAATTGGAGAATGAAAGGACGAGGTTACCCTTAGAAAGGCAATTGATTAGGGTAAAGACAGAAGGGCTTGGTTGGGGACCCGTAAAAATCAGTGAGTGGAGAATTTGGTCCGTCCACTGAAGACTCACTCAACCAATGAATAGACCAGGCCGCCAGCCCAGAGACGTGACGCTCTTGAACTTGACGGCGACGCCTACCATAACCATAACTCACCACCGTTGAGCCCCAGTCTCATGGGCTCCACTCTGTCTGCCGTATCATTTCATTCGATTTGTGCACTTCGGTTCCCAACTGGGTCAACGCCTGCCACTCATGATGCATCTGTGGCACTCTCGTAATTCTACCACAACAGTCAGGGTCTTTTTGGCGTGGGGGTTGGGAAACCAAAAAAAAAATCTCTTTCCCTTTCTCTTTCCCTTTCCTATGGAAAATGCTGCTGGCTTTTTGTTTTTCACGTGCAGAGATTGAAGCATAACCGTTGGAGTGCTGCAAGTAACGATCCAACGGTGATCGGAGTCCCATGATCACGTGATGATAGTCGTTATGTGGGTCCACGGTTGCTGAATGGAAATGTCAACCGTGTACTTGTATTCTTCTCCAGTTCATGAGGAGAAAATGGCCGCCATGTTATTTTCTGCCGACTTTAGGACCTGTTTGGATGTTTTTAAACAATCTCAAACCTCGCCATGACGTAAATTATCTAAATTAATCACGTACATTATCTCACTTCTAATTATTTAATTTAAATACATCTCATAATACCTCAACACAAAAGATTAAAGCTATATAAAATTCAGATTAAGATAAAAAAAAATTGCAAATTATTTTAATTACAAATCTATCATCTTATGTCCTCATAACTCAGCATGTATTATCTTTAACTAACCTCGAATCATTACACTTAACTATTATGTGACATGCCTTAACAGAACAAACATCCTTTTATCTCTATTTTTATAGTCATATTTATAATATTATGAGTATTTTTAGGTATTGCTCCAACTTTCCTAAAACTAAAACTTTAGTATAAGTTAGAACTTTCCTAACAATTTAAAAAAATGGCCTTAGTTCTTAGCCACCTTTTTAACACAGAGACATATATTTCGACGTAATCTATTTTGTTGACAATTCGGCTGAACAAAAACTTATGAATTTGTTAAATTAATAACAATTCATTAAATAAAAATTAACTTTATCTAATTAATGTTTCATACTATAATCAATTTAATGAATCGAACCATGGAGCGTATTCGCATAGACCCTATAATTTCTCGCAAACCAAACGGATCTTTAATAAGTAATAACCCAGCTGAGCAAATCCCACGTGCACAACCATGTATCGGATCCAACGGTTCAGATCTCCTCCGTCCATCTGCTTAGTCCGCCTATAAAAACCTTTTACCGCCTCTTCTCATTCCCAACTTATTCCCTTATAAACGCTGCAACTGCAGCAGAGCAGCGAAGCCAAAGCATTTGATCCCTCATATTTGGCTTGTTTTCGAGAATCGACCCTTTAAATTTTCGAGATATTTCAATTTAGTCCAAAAATGCTTTTAAGGAGCGCTTCGTCACCGATGCTCAATTCATGGGCTCCGCACTCTAAGGAGCCATCGCCGCCGCCGGAGCACGAGTTTCCTTACCATATTTCCCGAACCCGAACCGTTTCGTTCACTGTTTCCTGTTCCGTTGGATCGAACGACGATTTGACTCGGAAGATGAAGAGGGCAGTATCGGAGACGGATCTGAGGGACCTGGTAGTTCCGATGATGAAAGCCGGTAATAAAGGTTGTGGAATTTTGAACGGGATTTGTGTTGAGGAAGAAGAGGAGGTGGAGAAAGAGGAAGCTGGATTTGAGTGGTTGAGAGCGGCGTCTCTTGGGGTTGAGGAAGAATGTGCGATAGGCAGCGGCGGAGGAAAGATCTGTGGTGGCGGTAGAGGAGGCAGCGGTGGTGGATCCGACGGTGGTGATAACGAATGGGGTTATTGGGATCCGAATAACGGGAATGACATCACCGATTCTTATTATCAGAAAATGATCCAAGCTAATCCTGGGAATTCTCTTCTCCTCGGCAATTACGCTAGATTCTTGAAAGAGGTAATTCACTTATTTCTTCCCAAGAAAATTTGATGAAAATGAATTTTGGGTATCTGAGTTTGATCTAATATATGAAATCCAAAACAGGTTTGTGGGGATTTGGTGAAAGCCGAGGAATATTATGGGAGAGCAATCTTGGCAAATCCAAATGATGGGAATGTTCTGTCTTCTTATGCCGATTTAATCTGGCAAACTCACAAAGATGCCCCGAGAGCTGAAACTTACTTTGATCGAGCTGTTAAAGCTTCCCCTGATGACTGGTAAATACCCTCGGAACCAAATTCTAAAGTATGGGTTCTATTACATATCATTAATAACACAACGATTAACATAAATCTATATCCTCTTTTTGGTGAAATTTGCAGTTTTGTGCTAGCATCATATGCACGATTTCTATGGGATGCCGAGGAAGAAGACGAGGAAGATGATAATAAAGTTGGCAAAAATTTGAGTTATGGGTCTGATCAAAGCTTTTTCCCCGGAGTTCATCCAACGCCGCCTCCTTTGGCTGCTGCTTCTTAAGCCTCTTTGTGTGGAATAACTTGTACTTATCTTTTCTGACCTTTGTTAATTCTGGTGATCTTTGGAGGTTTTATTTAATTAGGTTTTTCATTACCATTGTAGAAAAGAGTGAGATTAGTAGTTAATTGAGAGCTGTGTTTTGCTTTTTTCCATTCTTGAATCCGTATCATGTAAAATAAAGATAAGGAAAATGAACGTTTCATTAAAATATTTCTCCTCGTCTCTCTCTCTTTTTACAAGCCATGCTATGATTCTTTGTTAAAAAATCCCCAGGTCGGTGATGATTTTCTGTAATTAATACAAATAATAAGTATGAATGCTTGTGAAGGAATTAATTCCAGGTCTTTGTACCTCTGGAATTGATTCCTTTGACCAAGATTAAAAGACAATCCACCGAGTTTTCTCATCATTTTGTATATATGGTATTAGCTAATGAAGATAAACATCAAGCTTTGGTCATAGATTTTGCTGAGCAGATCTTGATGCTGATTAGATTCATTGAAGTTTCTTTTGGGTGTCTTTAGAGGCTATGAAGAGTAGTTTTCAGGTTTCTTCATTATTCGGCTCCATAAAAACAGCAGAGTTGCCGACTAGGAACACGACCAACACGATTGCAGATAATTCTGCTTCGGGGCCAAGGACCATGAGCACGCTTGTCAGGTATCTATTTGTGAGGCCAAGCATAAATTTAAGAACTACATAATACCAATTAGGGGTGTAAACTAGCCGAGTCGAGTTCGAGTATTGTTGAGCTCGACTCGACTCGAAAACTCTAAAATTGATTTCGTCGAAAACTCGCGAGTTTAAAATTTTCAAGCTCGACTCGAACTCGAAATCCTGAATTGAAGCTCGTGAGCAGCTCGAAAAGGCTCGAAATGAAGAAATTTTTTTTTTAAACTTAACTCGATTAAAGTCTCAAACTCGAACCTGAACTTTAAATACATGAAAATCTTAATGTATTCTCTTTAAAAAAATCAATACATAAATATTAATATTTTAATAATTTTTTTTTAAAATATAATCTTATATATTATATTTTTCGAGCTGCTCATGAGCTTTTCGAGTCGAGTATCACGTAGCTCGTTTCGGCTCGTTAAGAATTCGAGTCGAGCTAGAGTCGAGTCCATTCGATCCGAATATTTATCGAGCATTGATCGAGTCGATCTCGAGTAGCTCACTATCTGTGTCGTCTCATTTACAGCCCTAATACCAATCACGTAACAAGTTTCGATTCTTGATTGGCAGCTATGAATCCTGGGAAGAGAGATCGGATAATATATCATGAGAATTCCAAAAGCTGTCTTTTAATTAATGAGTAGCAACAATAATAATCTCATATCAATACCAATTCTGGTATTTACATTAAGGTAAATCATCTCAAATCTAACTAAGTTTTAGATTTTATGATTGATTTACTTTTAGTATTGAATTTTGATTTCAAATTCAATTAAACTATTGAGAACAAATGATATGATAGTTTAGTGTTCCATAGCTTTATTTCATGCCATCATTATCATTAAAATTAGTTTTTTATTCATTGTTAGTCGTCGTTAAAAATTGTTGTTTTCAAATATCTTTATGGTCATTCTTGATATCAATGAATTTATTTCATTATACTCCACAACTTTATCGGTTATTTTCAAAATCATTTTAAAACTTATAAAATTATCATTTTTGGAAGGTTTAGAGATTTTCTCAAATTTAAGAGATTTGAGGTGTATGTTCGAAAATCTGAACGTTGGTAAGAAATTTTTTGAAATGATCAATAACTCTAAAATCAATCTTATTAAACGATCGTCCAAGTAGATTGAAGTACTAAAATATTAAACTTTCAAATAAAATTTTTCATTAACTTTGAATGAATTTTGTAAAAAAAATTAATTCAGAAAAAAGAAAAAATATATAAATATTTTAATATCAATTTTATAAAAAAAAAATAATGATTTATAACATATAGCTATCGATAATAATGACAATAAGAGGTTTTATATAAAACAATGCAGTCATCCCAACCGAAACCCAATCTATAGCTTGATTGTGTTGTTTCAAAGATGGTGTGCGGGGGTGGTGGGCTAAAGTGATCACAATCGACTCTATTGTGGCGTTGTTGGTAGAGTAATTTAAAGTAAGTCTTAGAACCGGATTTCGTTGAGAGAAAATTAGGAATAATCGTCCACAGTCCACCAAATTTCCTCTCCCACCACTTTTCTCGACAACCGTCCCAAATCCATACATATATAATCCAAAATTCGGGTCAACCATTTTTTGAATACACAGAGAGAGAAGAAGAATGAAAGGAGAGCAACCAGCATTGTTTCGGCTAATCTTCATCCTCACCCATTCAATAACCCCAATCCTCATTTACCCGAGTCATGACCCTTCTCCTTCACCCGGCCATCCCTTATACACACTGCCATCACCCTCATTTTATCGAGCCTTACCACCGAAACTACCTCAAACATTGAGCATAAAAAGCATTCCTACACCCACCTCACATTCCTTCACCATCCCTCAGCCCCTCTCTAACTTGAAAGTTCACCATTATAGCACGTTACCATTCTCCTAAGTTAACCCAAACCATGACCTTCACTAATCATCATATTCACCATCTTTCCATAACCCATGACACTGCCCAACATTCAACTTGACCAAACAACCCTAAATTACTAACCCACGAATCACTCTAAACTCAACTAAGATCAAATCAAACTCGATTATAAAATGATTATTAAATTTTATTAAACTGTAACAAAATAATCTTTAAATTTATCAAACTTTAACTAGGGTCGTAAAAAGCTTATCCGACCTGCAAAACTGACTGAAACCGATTTGAGTCAAAACTGTTTGTGACCCGTGTGGAGATGATTCAAAAATGATTCGAGTTCGAACTAACGTTGACCTGAACCCAAGTTAGACCTGGAAATTGTGAATCAGAACCTGACTTGCACCCGATCTGAGAACGACCTGAACCCGAATTGAACATATATTATGATAATTGAACCTAACCTGCATCCGACTGATATGAACTCGAACCTGAGATTAACCTGATAAATAACTGGTATTACCCGACCTGTTATCAACCTGACCTGTTATGAACCTGACATGTAATTGACTAAACCTGTAAATGATCTGAATTTTTTATTGAACTGATATGATATTTACCAGACTTGATATTTATCTGAATTATTAGTAATAGCTTACAATTGATGTAATTATGAGATTTTAAATTTATGATAATCTTGTGATAATTAAATTAATATGATTAATTTTTGAAATTTAAAATAAATTGTTAGTGATGATAATTAAATTAATAAATTTACTTTCTATATTAATTATAATCCTTATATTATAAATTTTAATTATAATCATTAAATTAATTTTATTATATAATTTAGTTATTGAACATTATTTTATTAGATTATATAAAATTAATTAAGATATTTATACGTTTATTTTTATATTTTTTATGTAAAAATTGATTAATATTATAAATATAATTTAACTTAAAATTTTAATATATATATATATATATATATATACTAAAACTAATAATTTATAAATGAATAAATAAAATTTTATTACACTTTAATACACTAAAATTACAATAAAATCAACTAAACAATTATGTTAAAATTTATGCTATTGTTTATGGGTTCGAATAACGACGTCGGCAAGGTGTGTGTTTTATTAACATGTTAAGAGTGTTTTATTAACATGTTAAGAAAATTCTAAACAAATACTATACGTGGTTGAAATAAAAGTGGAAGTTAATTTTAGTGACTAAAATAATGTTCTTTTGCAATTTGTTAGTTAAAATGGAAAGTTTTAAAAGCTTAGTGATTATGATCACTAAAAGTAGTTTACCATTAAAAAAAACCAATAGGCTTTCGTACATTCCGGCGCCAAATTCCCCAAAATTAACAAATTTAAGCGATTTAAACCAAAAAAAAAATTAGCTCACCATATTCCCATATGTAATGAGGTAAGGGGAGGTAGGGTAGTAGGTTACCCCCAACGTCAGATTGAGAGCAACTTTCGTGAAAGACCTCCGTTATGAATTGTCCTCAGTGGGACTCGATCCCACGACCACAAGGTTAAGAGTATTGTGCTCTACCAACTGAGCTAGACAGACAAAACTTAAACCAAAACAAAAAATATAAGAAAAAATATTTGGCGCCTTAATTCATTTTACCTCTAATTTTCCAAATATTTGGTGCCTTAATAGACTTGCAAATCTCTAGTATTATCAACATTTTTATATCAATCAAAAGCAAAATCAATTACATTCTCTTCTCTTCCACCGTTCCAAAAATATGAGGACAGACGACATGTCGACATGGATAATGATGAGGATCTAGAGCAATCTTGACGTTAAACTTTATCAATGTTTTTATAATATTTTTATATAAAAATATTGATTAAAATGTTAAATTTTTATTTACTAACTTTTAAGAAGAATGTGGTTCAATTTAATATTAATTTTAGCTTTACATTTTATAATTTTTTCAATTTGATTTCGGAGTGTGGACTAATTTGATTTGATTAAATTAAAACTATTAATGCATGAATGTTAATGTTATAACTTATTAATGTATGTATGATGTAAGATGTATGAATTGATATATATGTATAATGTATGCAAAATTCATTAATGTATAATGTATGTATGTATTTATAATTAATTAATGTATAATGTATAATGATATGTATGAATTGATATGTATGTAAAGTGTAACATCCCAAAAACCGGGTTAGTGACTAAAATGAAAGTTTTTGAAATTTGGTTATCAATTTGGGAAAATTGAAAAGTTCAAGGACTTAAATATGAATATCTTAGTATTGGATTAAATGGTAATTATGGAAAGATTGAAAGGCTATTATGGTCTTTTTCTCTTAAAAGATATTTCCCCCCTTACTAAGAGATAAACACGTGAGTTTTTGGGGAGAGTTATCTGGAAGCTATTTTCTTCTTGCTTTCTTTTTCCCGTAAGCTTCATTGCAAAGGTGAGTTGAATTATAATTGTTGATTTCTTTAATTTCTAAGTTGGTTTTGATTCTTTGGGTGTTATATAAACTTAAGGAAAGCTTATATAAGCTTAAAACATCAAGAAGAAAGAATTAGAAAGGAAGTTGTAATAAGGGTGTAAAAATA